AAAAAAAAATATTATTGTAACCAAATTTAAATATAAATGTTATAATTCAAGTTATGTTAATATTTTTATTTCTATCCAAAGAAAAAACATATATAAGAGGTTAACATTAAATTTATTTGTTCATTTTTTTTGTTAATAGTTTTTATTGCCTTTATTTGGTATTAGGTGTTCTACTGCATCAGATGTTGTAATTGAATTGAACAGAAGGAGCCTCAATTCCGGCAATTAGTCACCAAAAGTTAGAAAAAGAAGAGGCAACCAACTCTAACCCATCATATTTTATTGAAAAAAGAAAAGAGAAAGAAGTGATTTTTTGTATTTCATTGTTATCTTAGACAATAGTTCTAAATAATTTCTCCTTATCTCTTAATGTTGTAATCAACTATTGACATTATTTTTGCTTAATAATTTTTTATGGTTTTCTATTTATATAAGCATGTATATTATAATTTGTTTGTGTGATTTTTGCTATTATAATTTAAAAAAGTCCTTTAAAATCCTAATCCAATACACCCCCCATAGTGTTGCATTACTTTACGACTTAATAAATAAATAAAATTAAAAATTGTGTACCATGTTATAACTTTTTTTGTATATAGAAAAAGTGATAAAATTATTTAAAGAATAAGAAAAATATAAAAACTATGCATACAATTTTAGCAAGACAATTAAAAAATATTTTCTAAAATCATAAGTAGTGTTAGTCTTTATCATGATACCTCTAATCTACAAGTTAAAAATTAATAATATGTTCAAATATAAGTTCAAAAAAGTTATTTAGAGTTTATGTATTAAAAATATAGTTTTTTTTTATAATAAATATTCTCAGAAATACTTCTCAAGTTACATTGGCTACTCCCAACTTTGGTGTACATAGTGCTAACAAAAGTGAAGTAATTCTTATGTAACATGTAACGATTAATTTTAAAACATACATATAGAGGCTGTAAATTACATGATAACGATAGGGGCATTTTGGACCCACTTTTGAATGGGTGAACAGTCCCAACCCTTTTCTTTGGTATAAGACACAATGAAGTGTTTAGGAACCCAACTTTGTCCTTTTGACACTCTTTCTCTCTGCAGCTCCCTCTGTCTTTCCTCAACACTTTTCTTTGCATCTCTAGCTTTTTCCCAGTCTTTGCTCAAAATGGCTTGGCTCAACTCACCCCAAACAAGAGCTGTTTCTGTTGGCCACACACTCTGATAATACAATATTCATATCAAACTCAGGAAGACATGCACATTGGCATTTTCAGCAATAAAAGTTGACAAAAGGATATTTCCTTACATGTGCGCATGAAACATATAAGATATAACAACTTTCAGCCATTCATTTTTAAATAAATAATGGGTAGAATAAGTAAAGATTGTGTATGCAATCTCATAGGATCTCAAGGAGTGTTAATTTGTGAAATCTACTGATTAATTTATTACCTCTGGATCCTTGACAATAGGAGGTTGGAGCCCTGAAATAACTTGTTTTGCATCATATATCACTCTTACGTCTGAATTGTCTGTATTCTTCAACGTTACAGTACTACAACAATGCATTTTATGGGATTAGGAACATACCATCAAAATTCCAATGACATATAGGTAACTAATAAAACTTCAAAGTTATGTACCTATCCCAATGACCTTCAACTTTGTACAGAAGTTTCATGGAGTTTGAATCAAAGATCTTCCCTTTAATCGTTCTTCCACTTGCCCCAAACCCAAAGAAAGATTGAGTTGTGTAGCTTAATTCTGCCACTAGGCCTGTTTGTGGGCACCTGATATTAACATTGCCTATCCAATCATTTCCAGGGACTGGAAGCATTCTGATAAGAAAATTAGGAGAATTCAATTCGTATGTCTCTCCATGATTATGGAGCTTCAGCTGCCGTTTGCCATGCACATGAGCTTCTACTGATGCACCTGCATATTTGGTTTTGTTATGTATAAAACTATCTTTATAATAATCTTAATTAGTTCTAAGTTTTGTGAACCAGAACATGAGAACATTCATGTTCATAGTCGTAGTCAATTGAAGCAAAAATAAGAATGGGAAATTTTTAGAAGGGCATATAAATACTATTGAATATATACGTTTAGTAAAAGTAGAAATTGATATATATATTTTATCAAAAAGAACATGTTGGCTGAAGAATTTCACCAGTGAATTTTGGAACAGTAGCGTGGCACCATATCGTTTCTATATTTTCCTTTTCATCGGTGGCATGGAGAGCAGATACCGGAGGGTGATGTGAAACCTGCAAACCAAGCATGCATGTATAATTATCTTTGTTGATTCTCAAACAAAAAAAAGAAAAGAAACAAGGACTGATTTTATGCGAGAACAAGTCAAAAATGTAGAAATGAGAAAATCTAACATGTAAAAATATAAACACACAAAAAAAATAGCAAAATGAAAAATATTGAAAGAAGAGATCACAACATATTTATATGATTCAATTACTTTGGCTTACATTCACGAGAGAGAGCAAATTCTAAAATTTGAAAACAAGTTTTTATGCTAGAGCAACTCTTGTTTTCCTCAAAAATCTTTTGACCTCTAATCGATTTTCCGTTCCTCTTTGTTGGAAAAAAAATATCTTTTTTTTAATATACAATAATGATAAAAAAAAAACATATTAAAATAACACTATAAAAGAAATAAAAAAATCATATATACAAATTTATTTAATATGATTCAACCTTTCATAATTATGTCTACGAGATGTTCATTATCTATCAAAATGTATTACAAATATATCTAAAAATCTTTCCTTCAAATTTTGTTAATGAAATTTGAAAATTCCTTCCTCACAAATTTTATGGGTAAAACTTGAAAATCTCTCCTCACAAGTTTTATGGATGAAACTTGAAAATCATTCCCTCACAAATTAAGTTTTCAGGTAAAACTTGAAATCACTCCTTCACAAGTTTTCTAACAAAATTTGTAAAACTCCCTTCATATGACCTCCTTTTTTTTTATAGTTGATAATCCCCTCTACAGGTTGAGTAATTATTCTCATATTCAAGAATTTTTATTTATTGACCTTACATTCTAATCTTAAAAAAAAGAAAACAATTTTTTAAAATAAATATAATATATTTCACTTCTACGCAATATCTTAAAAGAATTGATATCTTTTAAATCTAAATAATATATCATAGATTTTAATTTAGAAAATTGAATTGTTTTCCTAACAATTCCCCGACCCCCTCAATTAAAATTTTCAAATTTGATCTTTTTGTTGTTATGAATGTTTGTTACAATCATCTTCAATCATACTTTTACTTGCAGTATTTCTTGTCTTCATTTCTTGAGTATTAAAATTATTGTATGTCAATCTTCAATACTCAAGTGACAGATCAACATACTCCACAAATCATAAGCTTTGATGTCATTGTTAGGAAAAAAAAACTCATTTTCTCTTACGCACAATAATGATAAGAAACACAATAAAACAACTTCATAAAAGAAATAAAAAAACATACAAATTTTATTTATTGTGGTTCAACCTCTCATACTTATGTCCACAAGATATTCATTATTGATCAAAATATATTACAAATATATAT